GGGGATGCATATGCCGGTAAGAAACAGCCGTAGCCAGACCTGCCCACCTCCCAGCACACGGATCACGCAATGTCTCACCACAGATCAGAGCGCAAGGACCGGGGGTGGCTGCAGACCAGCCCCTTACTCACCGCGTTGTGGCCGAAGAACTCACAGTAGCAGCAGTCGCAGAACTTCCCATCTTTCTGGTTGGTGGAGGAGGAGGGGCAGGAACTGCGCTCCGAGGTCCTCATCCTCCCCGAGCCCCTCGTCTGCCTCACACGGCTGCGGCGGGTGGCAACTGGTACCGTTTGGGAATTTGTGCCCTTTGCAAGAGGGGTCCCTGAGGAGAACGGGTGAAGGGTGAGAGGTGAGCAGGAGCCAGAGGGTCTGAAAATCACCCCACACCACGTGTGCAGGAACACCCATACCAGGGCAGCCTGTACCCAAGCAGAAGGATTTGCAGGGCAGACAAACCCCCTCCCCTGCATCCTCCTCCTCCAGGGTAGATGCCAGAGGAGCCGATGGCAGAAGACATCTGTAGCTCCTCGCCCCCCAGGACCTCTGGCAGGCAGGAGGCTGGCACACCAGAGCTCCAAAAAGCAGCGTCCCCCTGCCAGGCCACAAGCTGATTCCAGGGCAGGGAGCGGTACTCACTGGGGGCGGCAGGTACCACAGGTGAGAAACACTGGAACTGCATGCAGCTGCCAGACATCCCCACATGCAGGCAGGCCCGGCTCCCACAGGCACAGACCACCCAGCTCAGAGACAGGGAGACCAGGACACGGCCCACAGCACCATTCCTCGAGCTCCAGCTCGGGACAAGGCTGGCTCTCCGCACAGAGAGGAACCAGCGCCCGCGACTCAGCGTGCTCTCTTCCAGGGCACAGGCAGCCCAGAGAGGGCCAGAGGAGCAGGCGAGCAGAACCGCAAGTCCACAGGCTTCATCTTCTCAAGGACCTTTGCTCAGTGCCACAGCTGCCCGACGGATCTCACTGACAAAGGTCCTGTTGGCCAACAGCAGGTTGACCGGGCGGTTCCTTTGGGTCTTTTAGCTGGAGGAGGAGCAAGCACAGTCTCTTCTGCACCACAAGTACTAAAGGACAACCGCAGGGAGAAGACACGCAGGGAGAGAAAGAGCTCAACCCTCAGAGACCAGGGGTCTGCAGCAGCGGAACTGGTCCACAAAGACAGCGGCTCAATGCACCACCACCGCCTCCCCGCTTTTCCTCTACGGGGAAAAGTGCACCCAGAGGCAGGGGTGGGAGAACGGGCACGTCACCCAGTGAGGAGAGGCTGGAAGCAGGCAGGGCTCCTCTACTCACCTGTTCGTGCTGGGCAGCTGGTGGGAGGCGGGAGGAGGGATGAGCGAAGTGCTGCAGTGCCCGTTGCAGGGATGCGTGCAGCCCGACAGCGGAGGTGGCATCTTCAGCAGCGGCACGTTGGCAGGGGGCAGGTGAGGGCTCTTACACGACCCTGGGCTGTGTGAGACCGGGCCAGTGGGAGAGGACTCAGACACCGGCTTCGGGGTTGCCGCCTGCGCACTGGGTGCGGGGAAGAGCGCGGCCTGCGGGGAGGTGCCCAGCGGGACATGGGGTGGGGAGCCAAAGGGCCCCGGGTGGGCAGGTGTCTGCTTGGAGGGGATCAGCGCTGGTGGCTGTGAGGGGAGGCCGGTGGGACTGTTGGGAGGAGCAGTGAGGTCCGAGTGCTGATGATGCTCTGAGGAGTGGAAGGCCTCACCTGCAGAGGGACAGGAGCAGACAGTCAGACACCGGCTGTCCCATGTGGGCCAAGGCCAGGCTTGAAGCCACCCACCACCTCTGCACAGGCCACTCTTCTGTGGATCAAACCCTGCCCACCCCCAGGCAGCAGGGCACCCAGGCTAGAAGCCATCCCTGCTCGCAAGGGGGCTCAGCAGTGTCCTGTCCCTCCCGCAGCCCTACCCCATGGGGAGCAGAGCAAGGGGAAGGCGCTGGGGCAGCAGGGGCTGCGTGGAGCAGCGGGCTGGGAAGAGAAGGGCGGCCCTGCCCCGGGCACCCACCTGGCGGGGTGGCCCTCCGGCACATGCTTTTGAACTGCTTCGGCAGCGTCTTGCAGAAGTCGAGTGAGGTAGGCAGAGGCGAGCCCGGGGCGGCGCTGCTGGAGGTGGGGGAGGCCACGTGGCTGTAGGGACAGGCCTTGAGCCCCGGTGCCACAGCAGATGCCTGGCTGACGCACTCTGGAGAGAGAGCAAGGCCGGGGTGCTTGTCACCTGGAAGGAAAGCGGAGTTAGGGCTGGCTCCCAGCACCCTCTGCCTTTGCGGAGATCCCAGCATCCCGTTGGCACTGGCATTCAGGGCCCAGCCCACCCATGAGGAAACCATATAAGCCAAGGACCAGGCAAAAAAACCCTGCTCAACCCCTCAGCCAGCCTCAACTCACCTAGTGCAGCAGGGGGGGCCCCGAGGGGGCTGCCTTGTGCAGCCCCGTTGGTGTGCTGCGAATTCCAGAGGCCCGAGAGCTTGTGAGCAGACAAGAAGGAGCTGGGGTCCCAGTCCCCTGAGTTCCCGTGGCACGAGGAGGATGAAGAGGAGGAGGAGGAGGAAGAGGAGTGGGAGCCACCCCCACAAGACTGTGACTTGCAGGATGTGTGGGATAACGAGACCTGACAAGGAAAACACAGAGTGAAGCAGCAGCAGGCTGAGAGGGGAGGCCCTCGGTCCCAGGGCATCAGCACCAAGACCCCCCCTATCCCCCACTCACTGACCAGAGGCAGGGGCTCAACACAGAAACCACTCCTGTTACTGGCTTGGGGACAGCAAACAGCCCATCCCACACAACAGCGACACTGCCAGGCTGTGCCACACACCTGCTCTGGTCCCGCTCAAACCAGGCCAGGGTTAAATAAAGCCAAGTGGGAGGAAGCTTCCCTTCCCCAAGCCCCATGTGCAGGCAGGCACCTGCCCTGGCACACACTGCTGCTCCAGGGAGACCCAGAGTAATGTTGGGGAGCAGCCTCAGGGATGGGGGCCATGCAGCACAACACAGCAGTGGCGCCGCCAGCCTCACCGGGCAGGCAGCTCCAACCCAGCACAGGCAGCAGGATGAGCCCCCATGGTGCTACGCTCTGCCCCATCCTGGTCTCTCTACAAGGAGCCAGCAGCAGCCCCGGGGAGGGCAGCATGTATGCAGGTAACAGTGAGGCTGCAGGGAGCAGCATGGCTGGGATGTCTGAGGTGCTTGGCTCTGAGCGAGAAGGGGACCTGCACACCCAGCCAGTGCCCATAGGGGTGGTCAGCGCCACGGTCCCGGCAGGTACAGCCCCAGCCTTTCCAACGCCAGCTCCGTAACTG